TGTTTTAATCAATTTTAAATCATGCTTTTTATTTGTTTTTGTTTCTAATGTCTCTGTAAAGCACTTTGAATCACCTTGTTGTTGAATTGTGCTATACAAATAAACTTGCCTTGCCTTGCCTTGCAAGAGTGACATTTTGAATTTAGGTAGTTTATCTGTGAGAAAGTCTTCTCACACAAGTAAGCTGATCCAAAGATGGACCGAACTCCACATTATTCATGCTCATATAGAATAAAATTGCATGTTGCAAACACAAGTTTATCAGGTTTTGAGAGTTTTTTAATATCACTCCATTTGTGGTTTTAAATCTGAATAGCCTTTGTTTTTCACACCAATCTTCCAGGATCATCATTGTTATGTAGTAATCGGGACACAGCATAAGTCAAATGTACAAATTTTTTAGTAAAAGTAAAAAAGCTTTTAGTAAAAAAGTAAAGCATAAATTAACACTTCACTTCAACATTAACTATAGTACCTCTTAAGAAACCTATAGAATATTGTCACATGGGGTGAAGAACTACATAAACTGTGTCTCTTCCCCTTATCTATCTGTGTGATTCAGAACTAAGATGGAGCAGAACAGTGCAGGTATAAGAGCTACAACTTTGTGGCCAGTATACATAGACTCCCTTCAGAGTTTTAAAAAAACAAACACCAATGTCTTACTTGCGTCTTTCACAAAGTCAGGTCAGTGAGAAATCTCTGTAGCATCCCATTATTTTGTTTATTCAGTACAGACTGATCCGCTGGTTACATATAAAATCCCATAAATTTTCCATCAGAAGGCACCGTACGGGCTCAGCAGATCAACACTACTTCTATCTATGAGGTGAACAGGCATGTGAATGGATATTCTAACAACTCGCAGAAGATGCCATGGCTGGAGTTCATAGGGTTGCATACACTCCTCACCCCTCTCCACAGCTCTTCAGATCACATCTCTCCCAGGTTCTCATGCTGTAACAGTTGCTATTGTAATGCAGTCTATCACCACATGGCGGTGCCTCCTGTCTCATGACTGGTGTGTCACCCCCTTTTTGTTCTTCTTCGCACTCCTCCTGTAATGGATGCTCCCGTGTATACGCGGACTAGTGTGCTCTTTAGTAATGTGTGGTAGAGGTAGGACTTTTATTTTTGATATTGTAAATAAATGAGTACTTTTTGGAAAGTCAGAAGCTGTTGCTCATTCGCTATCCACCTGGACAACTCCGCGGCTGGCTTCATGTCCACTGCACGTTATAATGACTCTAGGACTGAAAGACAAGAAGGGAAAGGTCAGAGCTGTATAGATGCTCAAGCAGCCTGGAGAAAGAGAAGGTTTAGTTGACTTATTCTAAGTAGTCATTGTCAGTAACACAATTGTCTGTGTAAAGCACTACTTCTTTAGTCATGCCTTGTTTTTTCACAGTTATGTGATCAAACAAGAAAAACTTCCTAAGAGCTAAATATGGTATGTGCCCTACATATTTTCTCAGAAGAAAGTCTCTGCTCCTAACTCGTTTTTTCTCAACAAAAGAAAAATATTGACTGATATATTTTCAGGGTTTTAAAATGTAAAGCTGTATGTTAATACCACATACTGAGTATCATTACCTATTGTTTTATGAACATTTCTAAGTTATAATGGAATTTGGATGAGACTTCACATCAATCAACTTATGTTAATAAATATAAGTCACATGTCCGAGTGAGGAGAATGAAGTGTGCACTTTTGGTGAACGAAACATAGACAGCACTGTGAAAACAGATGCTTGGCCACCAAAGTTTGAAGCCTGATGAATGAATACAATATTTCTAATGAGAATAGCCAACTTTTACATCCAAGTTGTTTGTCCAAGTCTTCAAATTAATTTTCGTGCAGCATAACACACCCGCTTGATACCAAACACAAACCTAAGGTGCACTTGATATCATTGTTACATGCTTAAAGAGCTGAAGAAAATGAGGAGGGCCTTCATAAATCCAACAGACCTGTAAGAACTCATTCTACATATTATTATTTAAATGCAGAATAAAACACTTAAAGATTGCGTGACCTAATTCAACATGTTATATTCAAAAAAGTGTTACTGTGCATGAAAATTCAAAGTGCACGTCTCCAAAGTATGTTTTGAGCTTTTAGAGAACCAAACACTATCATACAAGGAGCTTATTTTGTCACAGCCTGCCATAGCTCAGGTTGTAGAACCAGTTATCCAATACAAACAGCGTTCAGTGTTCCTCTTTCACATGTGCTGTAGTTTTTCCAAGCTGATTCATATAAGAGGAGTGAGAAGTGAAATTCTCTGGTGTGAAAAAACAAAGACTGAACTGGCCTAAATGCTAAGCGTTATGGAATGCACTGCAATGCCTGACGTAGGACAAGAAGTGTTTGCCATAGTGATGGGTGACGTGGCGTCTCCACATAAGAAGATGCCCAAAAAGCTGCAGAAGAAGCAACGTGAGGCAAAGTGCTTCAGCCATTTAAGGAAAGCTGCAGGTTTCCACCAGCTTTTGAACAATCATCTTAGTATTATACATAATAAAAATCATTACTGTGTGGGTGCGGTGCTCTTTGTACGTTTGGGTCTCCTAAGTGAAGCAGAGATTCATGGCAGCCATTTTTCCCCTTCAATTGCTTAACAAGTTTACGAAAAAGCACTTTGAGCATATTTTTCTTCTATCGCTCATAAAATGAACCCAACATGAGCCAACAGCACTCGCCACCACAACACTCTTTTGCCTTCTTAATATATATTATGCTACATGTTATATTTTTTTTGGTTTTTTAATTTCAGATAAATTGGCAAGACAACTTTTTTCACTCCGCAGTTATGGTGTATTATGTGAATCTTGATTTGTATAATTAACAAAATTAATTTTGGAATAAAGCTGTAAGGTGAAGCACTAATTTCCAGATGGACTGTAGGTTCTTAAGACCATTAAGATACACCAAACAAAAATGTTGTCAGCAGACTGAAACAGAAAAAAAAAAATACAATTTTATTTAATAACAGTATTTGTAGCGACTGTTAGCTAATCTGTTAGCATGAGCAAGCTAACTTTAAGGAATGTTTAACAATGTGAGCTGCTCTGAGAAACAAATATAAACACACTTATTATAAGCTTGATAACTTACCTTGTTATTCTTCAAAAGAATAAATATGAAGTTCAAAAAATAGTCTAAATCAAAGCACTCTGATGCTTTTGGTGTCTTGGTATCCTACACTGTATCACTGCAGGGAACAATAAGTTTTGTATCGCAAATGCACAGGGCCAAGCAGGTACTCGTCCCTGTTTTCGACAGACTTGTCACAGTTATGCTGCACAGTAACTTAAAACCAAAAACTTAATTATAAAACACCTAATAAAAAGCCAAGCCCACATTTAGGACCTTTCTTTATTGAGTCTGTAATTTCTCTTGTAAAATGATTTAAAATGAAGAAAGATGTTGATTACATAGCCAAAAAACAAAATCACTCACTAAAAGGTAATAACAGTATTGCTGTCACCCTATGATGAGAATAGATGAGATTAGAGACAGGAGTTTAAAGAATCAGTTTAGGGAGCTAAAAACTGTAGAGTTGTGGTATTCTCTGTGGATATGTTAGTGACTCATTTTTAATATGAATAAAATATTGATTTCTTGATTTGATTGATTTGTAGAGAGTATAACCAGACCTTTAAGACTTAACGACAGAAGAGGGTGTGGTTTCTCTGTAGTATTTATATATCAGGAGTGAAAGCAAAACCAGCCAAACTTACCTGAATGAAGGTTTTAAAACAAAGCTCCCCAACCATACTAACTAATATCTCTGCTTTAATTAAAACATTTTCAAATCCTACCCTTTTTTTTCCTGGCAAACAAAATAAACCAGAAGAAGACAGTGTACCACGTGAAGGCAAAGGATGTCGGGGAAAAGGTAAAGTGAAAACTATCTATGCTACAGCTGGCCATATTATATACTGCAAAAACATAAGTATAAGCTGCACGGTTAATTGTGCTAATAAGAATAAGAATGAACAATAATAAGTTTTAAAAAATCAGCATAATCATTGAATGAGGAAAGACATTTTTTCTCTGTTTTGCTAGATCAGCCTTGATCAGTCAACATACAGACAATATTGTTTTGTCTTATAGAAAGGAGCTGCAGACGGCCTTATGCCGCTACATCACAGACACCCTCACCTACATCCACACGGTGACAGGATTCTGTGAGGGGTTCTCTAAATGGCTGCTGTGGACAGAGACTGAGTTAGACACCTTGATGGATATCAAAGATGGCATTGACGCACTAGACCTGAAAATCACACATGTTTACAATTTAGAGGAAAAGTGCACGGCCTTTCTGAAATTCATAAAGAACAAAGTAAGTGCAGATAGCAGGCGGGAAAAGCTGGAGAAGGAGCTGACTGAAGTGTTGGAGTACGTTTTGAGAGGCCAGGAGAAACTCCAGCCTTTCTTGGATGCAGTGGAGAAGCTGGCAGTCACCTCACAGCAGGTATTTGGAGAAAACCAGGAGTTACACCTGCCTGAAGGGATCAGACTTGAACATATTCAGTCTGTCATCAGTGCTGCACAACAAATCTGCCCTCTGCTGCTGGAGTTTAAAAGAGATTCAAAAGTCTTCTTCCGCCCAAAACTTGAGAATGTGGATGTGCTGGCATATCAGCTGGACAGATACATAGTGACCTCCCAGAAAATCCATGAGAAGCTGGAGGAAAGGTAACATCTAATAAAGAGCACATTTTGTTTTGAAGCAAGAACACATAAGAAGTGTAACTGTTTCTTCCACAGTGCCATAAATGATATCTGGCTGAAGAGCACAAAAGCCGTGGTAGACTTGAATGTGGATTTGTCTGAGGCTGGCATACAAAGTATGCTTCATCATATTTATCTGCTTGAAGAAATCAGGTAACTCTATCAGTACACAGCATCACTCACAAATCTTTATCTGTCAGAATAATATCTGAAATTCCATATCTCTAAAGTGAGGCGTTTATGATGCTATTTATGGTCATTTGAGAGATTTAAAGAAACCATTGTGAATAAATGGGTCAGCAAAATAAATAGATTGTTTTTAAGTTTAATAAGGATTTTTGTCAAAACATTACCAGGTTAATTTTGTACCTCAAAAAATTGAAAAAAGAAAAGATTGTAGAACATTAACAAATGCACCATAAATGAACAGCTGGATGTTTTCACTAATACTAGTGGTCCAACTAGAACTTAGCTCACAATAAAAGAATCTATCAAATTATTTCAATTAAAGAAGAAAATGCAGTTCTCTTTGTTTGTTTGTTTTTAAACTTTGGAATTATTTTTCAACAAAGACTACAAATGGATGGCTGTTGGCAAACACCTACTGGAAAGGTTGTTACCATCAGATGTCAACTGCACACTCTCAGTGAAGGGGTGATTCTTCAGCCCCTTTAGTTGCTCCAACCTCTTTTGGTGCACTCGCTTGGGATTTGAGCCAGCACTGCCTTCTTTTCACATCTCATTGTTTCCATCCTTTACTAAAATAAGGTTTTTAGTCTAACTTTAATTTTGGCATTTTCAGGATGGACCCAAACTTCCGAATGGTGTTCATGTTCAAGGAAAAGGCTGGTGAGGATTTCATCAGTAAGTTTGAAGAACACCAGCCCAGGATGTTGAAGTTCCTAGATGAGCTGGAGCAGTGTGCTGTTCAGCTAGACAAGATGAGTAAGGGTTCAAAGATCTCCAGTGTGGCAGGCAGTTCAGCAGGGGCGATTGGTGGTGTGCTGTCCATTGTTGGCTTGGCGTTAATTCCTGTAACAGCAGGAGCATCACTAGCATTGACAATGACTGGTGTTGGGCTGGGAATCACCAGTGGTCTTAACAGCATTGTGACCACTGGGGCAGAGATGAAAGTTAATCATAAGCATCAAACAAAAGCTGGTGAAGTTTTCAAGAACTTCATGGAAGATGTACAGATTCTTCAAGATTGTCTGCAAAACGTGACCGATCAACGAGTGTGTGGAATAGAAACAAGTAAGGTAGAGATGGCTGTGGGAGTAAGCAGGATTGCATCTAAAGTTTGGACTGTTGGAAAGGGCACTTTTGACTTAGTTACTGATGCTACCTCTGCTGCCAAAGTGTTTCCGAGTGCTGGTAAAGTTTTGGCTCAGGAAGGAAAAGCATTACGTAATGCAAGCAGGCTGGCCTCAGATATCCCAGATATTGGTGAGGCAGCTCTCAAAGGATCTCTTGCTCTCTCAAAGACATCAAGGGGTGGGTTCATCGCTCTCAATGCTCTCTTCCTTGGCATGGATATTTTCTTCATCTACAGAGACGGCACCAGTCTGGCAAAAGGCTGTGAGGCAAAAGTTTCGCAGGTCATCCGAGCCAGAGCTGCACTTTGGAGCTCAGAGATCGACTCATGGCAGAAGATTTGTGACTCTCTGAAGAAAGGTCTTCGAAAATCAGAGAAAAACAAAGGCATCCTTGAAAGTCCATTTTATCCTGAGACAACAAGCTAAATCTCCATAGAAACAGAAAGTATAATCTCTGAGTAAACAGATAATACTAAAATATATGTACTGTAAGGGTTTTCTTTCTTTTCTTTTCTTTTCTTTTCTTTTCTTTTCTTTTCTTTTCTTTTCCTTTCTTTTCTTTTCTTTTCTTTTCAAAAGCTGGAACCAGTTTTTAAAGCTCAATGTCCAATAAGTCCTTGTAATGCAATGTTTTTTTAGTATGGTATTTCTTTCTTCTTTTTCTTTCTTTTTTTCTTCTTGTTAAAGTGAATACCTGTTACTACAAGCCTATCACTTCCAACAAGATAATGATTGGCATATGTTGCATTTAATCTTTATAAACCCAGTGTGTGATCACTCAAACTGGGTTTGTATGTTGTAATGTATTTTAGTTTGTTATCTCCAAAAGTTGATTCTGTTCATCTGGACGTAGCGTTTTGGAGATTTACTTTCCTGGATGATTGAGAATGCATCAAGAGGTTTAGTTTGTTATGTTTGTATTGCATATCTGTACACTATCTGTACACTATCACTTCGATAATATGTTTTGTTATCTTTTTTTTAAACTCGATTAGCAAAAACAAATTTTTTACAGTTCTTTCCAATTGTGTATACATTAAAATGGAACTATATAAGCAATTACAAAAATGTAAAGCTCATTTTAAATCACAGTTTTGTAAATCTCTGACCTCAAATGTTCATCATTTTGCACACTTGGTTCACTTCGAGGTGAACTGGCCTTCAAATCAACACTTTTGATGGTAATACTGTTCAAAAGTCTCGAGTGGCCTTTCATTTCTTTATATTTTGTTTTCAAGGTGTCAGACATTCTTGCAATTTGTTAAGTGGTCTTGAACGATTGTTTTCCAGCTTTTAAGACCTCTGAAGTATCCATCCATCCATCTTCATCCGCTTTATCCGGGGCCGGGTCGCG